AATATACTAACACAAAAACTATGCGATTGTTCTCTTTCCCAAAAATAGTTTAGTGTCATTTTAGAGCTTATCTTCCATTTTCATTGTGTCCCAATTTTGTTTAGAAGTTTTATAAGGCTTGTCTACCATTTTCAATGCATCTAGCTTTTTCATGGCCAAAAAACACTTAAAATTCAGGGTAAAAGTGGCAGGAATGACCTCTAAAATTCCAAGGCTAATGGGAAAATCTCCCAAAAGCGGTCATGGATAATTAACAACTCCATTCAAAGATTGAAAGAGAGAGATCAAAATTATGTATCAAGAATCCTGCAAAATTGTAAAGAACAAAGGATCTGCACTTTGAAATTCATCCATGGCTTTCTGCTATGCACCAATATACTTGGGGCGAAGTGATAAAGAACCATTTCTGTCAATTCAGTAGCCGGACTTGTCCAAGTTGCTCAGACTTGGCTCCCTTGCTGGGCCGATTGCTCTGGTCCAAATTGGGCCACCTAAAAAAATTAAAAAAAAGATGAAAATATATGGAAATAAAGAATCAATGTAAAAAAATTAGGGTGTAGTTGGCATTCGGATGCATTCGTAGCTATAGAGGTAAGGCGCACCTTCAAATTTTATCATGGTATATAATTTTGATGTAAAATGTTCTTAGGATTATCTCCAAGTCTATTTTTATAACTAATTATAAAATTTTAAATTTCAAAAATGGTTAAAATCAAGTAGATCTATAAACATATGAAAATCATGAAAGTGGACGGTGTAGATAATATGTTTTAAAATGCACAATTTTTTAGACTTAAAATCTTTTTATTTTTCATGGTCATACATCTTGATGTCGAGATGATCAATCAAAAGGTTTTTCAACATTAAAACTACCTTTTCTGATGGATTTTTGAAGTGCATCCGTAGTTCTACATTATCAGGTTGCACCCTTATATAAGCTTTTTCCTAAAAATTATGTATGTAATTTCAATGTGATTGAGTTTTTCATGTCATTTCTAAAATATATCCAACCAAATATCAATTTTGTTTGTCCTCAATCTATGTTTTATATATTTTTTTTTAGTTTTTTAGTTTTTTAATTTTTATGTTACCTATGATTTTTCTTTCAGCTTTATAATTTTATTTTATTTTTAAAATTTATTTTTTGATTTTTTATTTTATTTTTAGTGGCCCTTTTGGTGTTGTATACTGCTTAGGGGTTCCACTCGGAAGGGCTAGTTATTCGCAGTCCGAGGCGAGTCCAAAAATGTTGATTAAATGATTTTCATCGTAAAACCGCAGTACCGTGTAAAACCCAAAGGCTCGAAACTTTTTTCAATTCATTCATGGACGCCAAAAGATCTCTTGAAAATCTGAAAAAATGAGGAAAAACTGATGAAACAATTGCTTTCAACTATAAAATCCAGGTAAAATAATCCGGGACAAACGAGGAAAACCACTTTCAAAGTTCTCCATTGCCGAGAGTATAGTGCTTAGATATGGAAGTTTTAGATAAGGAAAATAATTTGACAGGGCTGCTGCTCTATCAAAGCAAGTAATTCTTTACCTCATAATTCATCGAAAAATGAAATTTAAGTTTTAAAAAACCTTTAAATCAATCATCTTGGCTTGAATATTGTTGTAAAAAAAAAAAAGATTTCAAGCTCTAAAAAAGTATCTAGATTGTCCATTTCACTTTAAAAAAAAGTGTTCATAGTTCCGCAAGATTGTACCATTTTTGAGTTTTGAATTTCATTGTCGGTATTAAAAATTGATTTTAGAACCATCATAGAGATTTCCATTGCCGAAAATGCTTTTTGGAAGGGAATTTTAGGTGAGGGTTTATTTTGTTTTCATAAAATTTAGGCTTTATAGGAACCTCATCTAAAAGGTTTATGTGTTACCCAACCACAACATCATGCGTTTGATTACTAATTAAAAAAAAAAACCTATTGGCTGAAATATGGGGCATCCCATTTCCTACTTGGGGCGTACCAAGCCCAAAAAAAAAATCATGAAAATAAATGGCCAAAATGACCCTAAAAGTTTAGGGGTATTCTGGTAATTTTTAGTCATATTTTATTTAATAGTTTTATCATGTGCGCCCCTATGAGATGTATGGATGCCCCAAATTTTTCTCCAAAAATATTTATCGAATAAAAATTAAAATTAAAACAATATGAGCCATCTGATCAAAGCTCAAGAGCCAACATGTGACGTTGTGACTGAAGCCATCTCAGCCATCTACTCTAATTGATGGCTGAAACCCAGGTCACATAAATAATATATGTAGGTATGGTCACAAGCTTTACCTTAGATAAAACACTATAGTCCCCGTACAATTTTGCCAAGAATAGCTAATATGTGAGCCTAGTATTGTCAAATTTACTTCGCTTCGTTCGGCCTTCGGATCTTAAGCATAAACCGAAGCGAAGAGAAGCCCGAAGCTGCCACTTTGGTTAGATTAAGATCTGATTCAGTCAGAAAAGAAATATTTATATAAAAGTATTTTTATTTTTATTTTTTTAAAAAAATTATATTATTTTATATATAAACATCTAATTTATTTATATCAATTTTTTTTAAAAAAAAAGAGTCTAAAGTCTTCTCCCAAATCAGCGAAAGCACCGAATTGCTTTCATTTCTCTCACCAAACCGACGAAGACTCCGAAACGAATCTAACAACATTTTGTGAGCCATCACCCAAATCGAAATGTCTTCTAAATAACAAAAACTTCAAACAACATGGCGTAATTGGGTACAGACACACTAAAGATATTTCAAAATAAAAGTCTAAGGTTGTTTTTGACTCTTGAAAGGTCTAGCTATGTGGAAGCTACATCTTTCAAGGAAGTGGAACTCATGTCTTTCCTATTTTTAATGCTGTCTTGCGTGCCGCAGGATACTAAAGCTCCCAAAAAATATGCAGCACTCTAAGTTATCTAACGGGGAAGTGTTGCAGTATTAGGAAGTAGCGGTTTCCAAAACCGCCACTTCCAAAAAAATCAAATGCGCTAAGAAGAAACTGGGATGCTGCATTTCGAGCAGCCCACAAACAGGTTCATTCAGGAAGATGAAGAGGGATAAAAAAGAGACAGGATTTCTTGAAGAGGAAGGAAACAGAGGAATCACATTAGAGTGGGAGCTATGAACCACCTGCCTCATAAGAGATGCCCGCACTCACTAGATTCCAAACTCCATGGTCAACTGAATTTCAAACACTCTAGTTCTCACTTTGGTTGAGAACCAAAGAATGAACATCAATCTTCTTATATCTATTCATGAAAACTTTGCCATCACATTAAAATGTTTGCCAACTGAATTCTAACACTTTGATTCTCACTTTGGTTGAGAACTAAAGAAGGGACATGAATCTCCAAGCATGAAAACTTGACTTTCACAAAACAATATTTGCCTCAACAAATATGTCATTGGGATGCAACAACGTAGAAAAAAAAAATTGGTTATTTAGTGGTGGGAATCAAACTTGAAATGTAGTGTTGCTTGACATCAACCGCTTACTGCTCAAGCCCAAGTCTACAACAAAATAAGTGATTGATAAACTATCATGCGGTGGTGTGTCGCACATTCCTCAAGATTGGCATTCTTGCTCCTTGGTTCTTAGAACACAATAAAAGAGGAAAAAGGTTTCTATACTTCTCCAACAGCATAGAAGATCTATACTTCCCCTACCATCTAGCCTTCCAATTTTAATCAAGAGAGCCACTCACCGTTTGATCTTAGATCCGACATCTCAAAGAATTTTATTTTTAGTTTTTTTATACAAATTGTACGTGTCATCTTCTCATTGGAACGCGCCTATTAAAAATATTAAAAATAATTTTTTGATAAAATATGATGACCAAAATAACCCTTGAAGCTTTTAGGGGTATTTTGGTCATTTTATTTTATTCAAAATTCTTTTTTAATATTTTTCGCTAGTACGAGTTTAATAAAGGATTGTACATACAAAATTTGGTGTCAAACTAGTTTATAGAAAAAAATTAAAAATAAAATAATATAGAGACGTGACATTGTAATGAGACAATCTTAGCCCTCTATTCAAAATGGAGGGTTGGATAAAGAAAAGTATATAAGTTTTATGTTATAGGGAAAGCATGGAAAGCTTGCCCATAAAAGAGGGTATTCTCGTATTTAACTTTGATTTTCCTCCGATCCATGGGAATTATCTTGGATGAGGACCCCAATAAGTTCCTCTGCTTTCCTACGAGGGATTTGCCGAAAGAGAGTGGAGCATGGAAGCTCTAAGCATGTTTTCAATATTATGCCAATGAAACCGCGACTCAAAGTGGATTAGGCAGTTTGTAGGGGAATTATGAATTTTTTGTCATGGCTGTTTACTCCATAATTTAAGGATTACAAAGAAGAGAGGGTGATGATTTAATTGTTCAATTACAATTATTCCCAACACCTGAAAACATAACCATTTGAAAAGAGAGTTTCACCTGGAAGAGGAGCCTGATTTATCGTATTTTTATTCATTCATTTGAAAATAAATAAAAACAAAATTAAAATTATCGTATTATCCATACGGTTATGATATCATGGTTGCAAGGGTTATTGCCTTTCTACCCCACACTTCGTCTATCCATCACTATCGGCTTAGTGATTGGATGGATGGTCATAAACCTCTATGATCATGCTCTTGTCATGACCATATGGACCATGATACACTTCTGTTGAATATGTAAATGCTAATGAAGTTACGTAGCTCTCCTATGTTGAAAAGAAAGTTTGGAACCGGATCTACTGCAGTGAAATTTCAAGAAAATACATAGGAGGCAATTTAATTATCAATCCTTTTATCTGGCTCATTTATAAGACATCACCCATTCATGAACAAATGTTTTTGAGTTTCAAAAAAAAAATTACTTTCTAATAGTTCTATCAGTCCCTGTCATGATTGTTTTGATCAGGGAAATCAATGAGATCCCCCACAATCATACAGACAACAAAACCAAAGCAATCACATTTAAAGGTGGTCAAGCAATGTGGGATTCTTTTCCATAAATGACCAAAATTAAGTTGAGAATAGAGGAGATGGCAGTCGCATTATTTTACATCTTCAGAAACTGTTACAAGAATTATGCGATCAACCAAATACTCATGCGACTTTAATGCAAAATAAAAGAAACAAACGAATAGGTACACTCAAGCAGCAAGTGAAACAGCAGCTAGAAATGATGATTGTATTATTTCCTTAACCTGTTTGTTCAAGTTGGGTTTCACAATGAGAAACTTCTGTAAACAAAATTGATGCCAAGATTTCACCACCCAATAATACCTTCATTTCTTACAAAATGGACCTTAATGGATGCCATGTATGGGCAGCAGAAACTCACGCCTTAGAATTCTGCCCAAGCATATACTCTTTCTTCATCTCTTCTAAAACAGAGTCATTGGTGCTGCCAGCAAAAACCCATGAGAACGTAACATCTATTGAAGAACACGATGCAATTCATACACAAATGTGTAAGGAAAGCAGCACTTCATGCACAAATGTGGAAGGAAAAAATATGCACTAGTTTTAATCCAAGTAGTGAATTGAACGGCTTCAATCTAGGACTTACTATTGATGAAGGCATTCATTCAGTTCTTTTGCTTGTTGTCGACAGAGCCAAACTACAGATAGAGTTCTCCCTGAAGCGCATTCAGCATACTTCACCATGTATCGATCACATTCTTTAAGAGCCTTCTGCTTCATTTTGCTTCGTAAAGCTGGGAAATTTGCAAGATATTTACATGCCATTCATCACCAAATATACCACGTGCTCTTTTCATAAAAGGCATTTGTACGAGATATACCAGATATCCAAAGTGCTCCATATTATTTTACATACAAATTACAATATGCAAAATTCTTATTTAAGCCCAAAATACAGTACCTTGAAAATCTATCACTCGATCAGATTACAAAGTTTTCTCAACTTAAAACATATATAAAACTAAGCTCACTTTCCAGGAAGACAAAAAGAACAAAGAAAAAAACTGAGCTCGTTTCTTGACTAAATACTTTTAAAATCATTATTTTGGCAACCAGATGACCCAATCATTTATAGCAGCCTTAGCAAAACTGAGCGAACAGAATCCGGACAACCGAGACAGAACTCCAAATAAATAGCAGTTCAATATAATCAAATACATAAATATTATCCACGTACAGACATAGTCTGGACTTTGGACTTTCAAAAGCATTCACTAATTTCTTATTGTTTATGTGATCCAAAGATATATTCAGTCATTTAATTTATAGAGAAAATTATATCCCATCCTAAGACCATAACCATTCCTAGAACAAACGCTCAGCCCTATTGGTGGTAACAACAAGACCCGATATTTTATTTTTTACTCTAAAAATACTCCATGTCTTTTTTAATGTAATTTTGGAGAAAAATACCTTTTTCTATTGTGAAAAGAATACCTCTAGCAAAACTTTCAGTCCTCACCTTGGTTTCCTCTCAACACATGTGGAGAGAGAATGAGAAAAGAGAGAAACATTAAGACAGGAAATTGAAAAACAGAAAGGAATGACTCTGAATTTTTTGAAACCATAGAAATTGTCAGCTCTCTCTAAAAAATCTCTCATTTTAATTTGCAGAAATCGCGATTCCCCTCACAGGTTTGCAAGATAATGAGAGGTCATCCTGGCTCCAATGGCTGGTCCGATGAACAGAGTGGAAAATTCCAAGATATATGTTGATTAATGCTTCCCACCCCAAATCCACCATTCTTATTTCCTGTTCTTTCACATAGCTACTCACTCTGCGCTCGATAGGTTACACAGGTTGGTCCTTGCTTTTATAACAGATGGCCATTTTGATATCCAAATGTTGAGAAAGAGAAACAATTTTCTTAGGAATGTGTACCATAGTAATGCTCACAATGAGGTTAGTTGTTTGAAACTTGTGGTTTTATTTGTGTTTCGGGGGTCTTTTCCGGTTAGGTTTCAAGAATTATGGGAAACTGTTAGAATTTTCTTGGTTGATTATGATTTCTTTTGTGTGTTTATGGAACTTTGTTGATTTCTAATGTTTTTTAGTAGCAATGGTTTGTTTTCTAGAATTATATAATAGACTTAGGTGTTGTGGTCGTGTAGTGTCAACCTAGAACAACACCTATTAGGAACGGTGATTTGGTTCATGTGGAAGGCAAAGGGAAAGGGGAAAGCCCCAAAGGACATGGATGGAGGTAGTGAGAAAAGATATGGTGACTTATGGTCTAACTGAATATGGCCCTTTATAGAGTGGAACAGCGCAACAAGATTCGTTAGCGGACCCCAAATTGTTGGGATAAGGCTCAGATGATGATGATGGTGATTATGATGGTGATTATGATGATGATGATGATGATGATGATGATGATGATAGAAATAGTATATATGCAAAATTTGTTTTACTTTATTGATTATGAAGAATATTGTATACTGAACTTCTTCTTTTGTTTGATTTATCTAATGTTTTCGCCCTAAGATCTCTGAGATCTATTGCGATTATTTATGCTTCAATTCCTGCAGGAGATGGAGAAGTTGAAGCAAACCACAGCAGGGTCATGGTTCCATTTGGGAAAAGAGAGGAGGGAGACTTTTTAGAAATAAATTATTTATCCTTTTGCCTCATGGTTCCACCCCTCTGTATTTGATCTCTGAAATCTATTGGGATTATTTGTGCTTCAACCAAAGTAGGAGATGGAGATGATGAAGCAAACCAGAGCACAGAGAGAGGTAGAGAACTCTTCGAAATAATTTTTTTACCAAAGAAAATGATATTATACTCCAAAATTTAATTAAAAAAACTTTCAGGATTTTTTGAGAAAAACATAAGCATGGGTTTTTGTTGTTTCTACCAAAATGGGGCTGGTTATTCTTTTTTCTTTTTTGAATAGTGGCAGGTCAATTTTCGGGTTTGGAATGAAACTCTTCCTAATTTCTATTGTATATAAGGTACCAACCACCGAGTCCCCCAAGTTAAGGGGTAGTAAAGCTATTTGCTCCATTAGTGGCTCATGCATGAGCCAGTTTGGCTTATTTCACTATTTCATAAAATCATTTAGGCCGCAGCGTTTGATATTAACATTGTATCAGGACCTTGAGGAACACCCAAATCTCACTATTTGGGACTTCAAATTTTGATTTCATGTGAAAGGGAAAGCTGTTGTGGCACTCTTTTCTATAGGATCATCATAAAATCTCCAAGGAATTACATATTGGATACGCCAATAAATACTCCAAATGGTTGAGAGATATCAAATTTTTCTTTTCTCTAGTAGTTTGATCCCCATGGCTCTGAATGTCAATAGAGGACTGCAGAAAGTTGCTGTTTGAGATTGCTAGAGAGAAATTCATGATCAAACCTTTCCAGATGCTGATAGTTTCAACAGATTTATATAATGGAATCAATAAATGATGACAATAAAGTCTGCACTCTAATAAGATTTTTCACGCATGTGTATTTCACCATGGAAAAATTACTTAACAGATAACATTTAAATGAACATATTGATGGCCCTAGCAACAACACATAGACAAAAATAAATAATCTTGCTATGAAACAAATAAAAGTGGAAGGTAGGAAGTGCATGGGGTCCTTCGGCAAATAGAAGCTGGAATCTCGATCGAGAGTTTCCAATTCTGGGGTGTCGAAGCTGGACCTTTGACTACCTAGTTAGACCCAGTCATCCAGATCATGAATCACCGATTCGGATTAGATTCAGGGGATGGATCCGCCAATACTATTTTTTATTGCTTTTCACCTGGTTCAACCTCTCTGGATGGCCGATCCAGTTTACTACAGTGGGTGTGTGATCAACAATCCATTTCGGGTTTTAAGACCTTGGAAAATAATGTGTTTGTCTAAATCTGTTTGGAATTCTGGGGATCCGGGAAAATTGTGCTTAGTTTAACCTAAGATTTTCTAAACCAAAAGATCTGGAAATTCGCCAATTTTAACCGTTCATTGAAGTTTTCATTGATGTGATGGCAATATTTGTTAACTAAATCAGATTTCAAACACATAGCTCATCCATGACAGGTCTGAAGAAATGGATGGCCTGATTAGAAAAAAAAGACACTTGGGAAATGAAAAAGGACAAGTGCAAGACAGTTAAATCGCTTCAAAAAAAAAAAAGGACAAGTATAAATGAGAAATCTATGACTCTCATTTATTGAAAAAACTGCCACTCCATGGGGTTCTCAATATAGCTCTTGCTCAATAAAAGATGTTTTTCATTACCAATTGAAATTACATACTTTGCTTTTATGGTACAAATATTAAACCAAAATCTACGGTTCAAGAGACCAAGTAACTATCCTGAAAATAGAGAACTAACCCACACAAAGATAATCCAACATGAAAATAACACGCAAATCCTCACTGTGTCCTTATTTATCTAACTAAAACCCATCGGAATAATCCGTCCTTCCTATATTGGAAAGACGTTGAGGGAGAGATGTAACATCCCTTCACCCTGGAAATCGACGTTGTCCTCAAAGGTCAAGAATATGGAATTGTTGTTGAATCCAGTAGAGGTGCTCCAAGTTGCATCCCTGGGGGCCATATTAGCCAATTGGACTGGTACCTCAATGACTGCCTGATTATTGTGGTTAACCATACTCCTGGCCAAGATAGCAGCGGCTCAATCTTCATGACACCATCTTCAGTTGGGGCACGAAGCATAGTTTGAACTGTATGATGTGGTCCAACCTTTTTATTGAGACAAGAAATGTGTAAAATATGATGAATACTTGTCCCCTCTAGCAGTTCTATTTGTAGGCCACGGGACCTATTTTCTAAACAATCTTGTAAGGCCCACAAAACTTAGAAGAGAGATTGTGTACAACATATTCCCCAGTAGGGGTCTGTTGATAGTGTCTAAGCCACAAGCAGACAGAATCATCTACATAAAACTCCCATTCCAACCTATGATGATCTGCCTGTTGGTTCATACAATGTTGAGTAACATGAAGGTCTTCTTCAAGGCCTTTGAAATCTGATCATGATTCCATATTTCCTTATCAACTCGATCAACCTTGATAGAATTGGGATCATAATCTGATATTGATGGTGGCGGTCGGCCATAAACCACTTCAAAAGGTGTCATCTTTGCGCAAGGTGGAATGCAGTATTATACCACCATTCTGCTAAATGATAACCATCTTACATAATACTTGGTCTATCACCAACAAAACAACGTAAATATGTCTCCAGGTAACAATTTTTCATTTTTGTTTGTCTATCAGTCTATGGATGATAAGCCATACTCATCTTAAGTTGCATGCCTGTAGTTGAAAAAAGGAAAAATTATGGATACCCTTTGTAAACATCCGACCCCGCAATGCCTTTCATATCAAACTCTTAACCCAAATATTGTTTTTCCTTGTTTTTACCCCCAGTCAAAAAGTTAATATGTTAAAGACCAAAATACCCTTTCAATCCTCTCTCACTCTCTCTCATCCAACACCCAATATTTCTCTCTTCCCACCAGATCTCTCTCTGCCCGATATATCTCTCTTGCCCACCGCCCAATATCTCTCTCTCCACCCTCTCTCTCTCTGTCTGTCTCTCTCTCTCCCCTGAAATGGGAAAGTGTGGACCGGCACAAAAGTGTGCTAGACCGGTAGTGAAGCTTCTAGAATTTGAAGCCAAAATCCGGTCTAGCACACTTTTGTGCAGAATCGCTTTTTTCATTGTTTTTCCACACTCGAGCAAGAAATGTGCCGGACCGTGGGAGAAACAATGAAAAAAAGCGATTATGGGTTCAAATGCCACAAGCCTCACTACCTGTCCGGCACACTTTTGTGTCGGACCGCATTTTCCCATTTCGGGTGTAGAGAGAGAGAGAGATCGGGTAGGGGGAGAGAGAGAGAGAGATCGGGCAGGGAGAGAGAGATCTGGCCAGGAGAGAGAGATTTCGCGGAGAGAGAGACTAACATCATGCAAGGAGAGAGAGAGATCGGGTGGGGAGAGAGAGAGAGAGAGAGAGAGAGAGAGAGAGAGGATTGAAAGGATATTTTAGTCTTCAGCATGTTAACTTTTTGACTAGGGGGTAAAAGCAAGGAAAACCAGTAATTGGGTTAATGGTGTGATATGAAATGCATGGAGGGTTGGGTGTCTACAAAGCACATTTTAGGGAGATATCCATAATTTTCACTTCAAAAAACTCTCTTGCCAAAATTTATTTATAAAAATACCATATGTGTCACAAACAATGGATTGTGGCATGTCATGAAACTTAAAACTCTGATCTACAAAAATTTGAGCAATGGTCAAGGCAGTGCAAGGGTAAGATAATGGGCAAAACGGGCAGATTTCAATAACTTGTCAACCACTACCATGATCAAATTTTTTCCATGAGAACTTGGCAACCCTTCTATGAAGTACATGGAGATGTTTGTCCAAATATAATCAAGTATTGGGAGTGGCAATAGTAATTCCAGATAGGTGACCATTTCACCTTTGTTCTTTAGGCAAAGATCACATTCTTCAATAAACCTTTTAATCTCCTGCTTCATTCCCTTCCAAAAAGAAGGATTGGAATATCATTTTGTATGCCTTCAAATACTCCGAATGACCTTCACTAGGAGAAGAATGAAATTCCTAAAGAATATCCAATCGCAATGGCGGCCGATGGTCGATCACACACTTTATCTTATGTCAAAGCTCTCCTCCTTCATTTGAATAATGCGGGATGCAATTCAAACCTTGTTGAAGTCTTTCAATATTTTCAAATAATCCTTATCCATTGTCCATTCTTCATCGCTCACTTCATCCACTCAGATTAAGGAAAATGGATCGCCATGAGAAAGCTATCTTCAAATTGTCCTAGCAACACATCAGCAACCCCTCAGTCGCTCTACCAAGAATTATCCCATACTTAACCTAAACCATTATCTTCACTTAAAGCTAGTGTGCCAAGTTCTCGTCCCATAACCTTGCCCAAATAGGTGTTGACACAGTAAAGGATCTGAACTTCTGTACATCCATCCTAATTTCATCTTTTAACACATCATGAGCACCCACCATCACCCTTACCCATCCTTCTGTTTGGTTGGCCAAGCATTCAAAATGTGTTTGGGATTATTCTAATGGCTTGCATACTTTGCTTTATAACCCAAACCTACAGTTCCCCTAATCAACTAATTCTCCAGAAAAGTAGAAAACTAATTAACCCAAAAGGGAAATAACAAGATAATCCTGTCTCTTTCCTCATTATCTAACCCCAAGCCATTAGAATAACCCCTATGTGAGAGAGTCGCAAAAAAGAAAAACCATAAAACTAAAATTCTTTTAAAATATAGGATATAGATGAGCTTCTGCCAAGTGATATTCTCGCATCAGCTGCTCAATATGCTAATGAAGTAACCCATTTTAGATTTCATCACTAGAAAGCAGATAGCTAGACAATCTGAGCTCAATACTTAGGCATTACTAGTTTAAAAATAGTATATGACTCAAATATATAACTTTCATCTCATTCTATGATCTCCTCAAATTGGAAAACTAATAGTTCTAACAGCAGGCACAATATATATAGGGCATGGGCTAAGGCTTGCTTGGTTAAGATCTGATGATCACAACACTACGCGCCGAGTTCAAATCCCAAACCTGAAATTTCCAAGATAACAGTTGCACAATATATGTATAAGTAATCCACGGTTCGCAGGTGATCCTTTTCTACTATCTGTTTTTTGTACAACTTGCATAAACTTCATTACTAGCAGCCATCAGATAATGTACCGCATGCAACATCATCTATTGAATGATGAAAAGGAAATTGATAAGGTGAGACTCTGGGTTGAGAAATATCATAAAGGAAATAAAACCGGTAATCGATTAGTTAAAAATTTAGCTAAGTAAGAGAACCACATTGCAGCCACTAAGTCCAAGAGAGATTATAATTCACCGTAAGGAAATAAACAAAAATTGAAAAACATAAACAAATGCATCTTTCCTAACACACCCAAACCATCCAGTTCCAGTTCTAGAGACTCCCAATATAAAAATAAGAAGACCAAAAAATGGGGAAAATGGAGAAACTAGATGTTTTCATTTGGGGGCAAATATTAGACTGGGATTACAGTTGCGATTAAAAGGAAGTAACAGTCTGAGTTGTAGTTTGTTCCCAGAGAAATCGAGAGCTACACAAAGTCATAGAAGCTCTAAGAACAAAGTGATTTTCTCATTAAATTGAGTTCAATGTGGAAATAATAGAGAAATAGCAGGGTGGGTTTTACAGGTTTGGCATTACCTTCTTCAACCTTCTTCTTTACATGATTCTCTCTCGCTTCTTGAATGTACCCCATTCCCAGCCTTCAGCCTCTCTCTTTCTAAATCTCTCTCTCTAAAAGTAGGAATCCCTCGCAGGTTCCGGCTCCAAGGCCTAAATTCTTTTCTCTCCCCAGTCAAATGCTTCGACCAGTTTCTCTCTCTCTTAAGCGCAAGTCTGTGACCTTTCAAGCATGGGAAAACATACACTTTGAACAAGATGCAGTACAAATACATAACCGTAAAATTATTATCCTGAACGGTAGAAGTGGTCTCACCAAAACATTGTCGCAATTTCAAATCTACAGACTACAATCACGCGATCACCATCCAACTCTTTATACGTAGGGTGATGACCCACTGTTATTGTTTTTAAAACTCGTAAAACAAATGCACGCACGTGCCCAGTTATACTAGTGTATCCATGAGTTGAAAAAAGTGAAAAAATTATAGGGTTCTACACCTTGGTTAAACAAAAGATCTCTTTTATTTTGGGTGCAGTTGGCATACGGATGCATCTAGAGGTAAGGTGCACTTCAAATTTTATCATGGTATATAATTTTAATGTAAATTATTTTTAGAATTATCTTAAAATGTATTTTTTATATTTAATTATAAAATTTTAAATTTCAAAAATGGTTAAAATCAAGTAGATCTATAAACATATGAAATCTTGAAAATGGACAGAGTAGATAATATGTTGTAAAATGCATTATTTTTTAGACTTAAAATCTTTTTATTTTTCATGGTCATACATCTCGATGTCGAGTTGATCAATCAAAAGTTTTTTCAACATTAAAACTACCTTTTTCGATGGATTTTTTAGATGCATCATGATAGAAAGACCTATATGATTTTTTATCGGGGAATAAGTTTTTTTTTCTTTTTAATTTCACTTATAGGTGGTATTTATTACAACAAGATAAATTTCAAAATAAAATCAACATAACAATAAAATCAAGATCTTAACAACTTGATGTCATTGAAACAGCTATGCACTATGTTTGAGAGTAAAAGATAAGATTGCAATAAACAAAAAGAAGAGTGTCGGATATTACCTCAATCGGGCTTATTATACCCTACACCGAGTCACCACCATCCGATAGCGCGTGATCGACAATCTAGCTTCAATCTTGGACTGGGAAAAATAAATTTCGGCCAAACTATTCTTTTATGGAATTTTGAACCCCTCTTAATCTCAAAACCCTAAACCTTGGTTCAACCCTTAATGCCTAATTCAAAGCATCTCTTACTACCCAACCATTAATCATAAAATAAGAAGAAAGAAGGATATCTCTACTAGCTACCTTGGCTCAAACCCTTAATGCCTAATTCAAAGCATCTCTTTCTACCCAACCCTTAATTACAAAATAAAAAGAAAGAAGGATATCTCTACCAGTTGGGGCGTGCCCCTTAGGTTGACTGTGCCCTTTTGATAGGGTTTTTTGAAAGGTTTTATAAGAGAGAGAGAAAGTATAGAGCCTAGGGTTGGGACGTACCCCTCTAGAGAGAGAGAAGAGAGGTTTTTTTTGTGTGTAAAGTATAGAAGTGGGGCGGTCCTCTATTTATAGAGAAAATTAGGTCTAGAGTTTCTCATAGTTTGCCTCTTATATGAAATTGAATATGAACCGTCGATCATGGGTGACTTGTGGTGTGAGAGATCTGAGTCATCCATTCCATAGATGGGCTATCAATATTATGGAATGTCCATGAATATTTATCCCTTTTTTCTAAATCATTTTCTCATCAATAGAAAATAATTAAATTAATTTTAATTAAATATTGTGCATTCCATAAAATAGGACATCTCTACACATATTTTCCATAAAATCTATCAAAAATATATCAAGTCAATATCTACTTCCATATTAAGTCTATACATGGTCAATACATACTCAATCCATAATTTGACCACATGTCACAATTTAAAGCTACTAAAACATAAGGTCTCATGGACCACAAAACAAAACTTTCCATCAAATAGAAAGTAGTAAGAGGTGGGGCGTGCCACCCATGGGAGGCACATGTGGGCCCCACCTTCTAGAAAACATAGTGGGCCCATGTGCACAATGGGCCCCCATGATTATTATTTTTTATGTATTTAAAATTAACAAAATAATTTATAGTGAATATTAAAACATTGTAAAATCAATATCTATAATTTTATAAATCTAAAAATTATAAATAAAATATCCAAAAGTTCATAAAAACTCAAATAATAATTTTAAAATAATCATTATCATAAAACAAACATACTTAAATTAATTTGATGGCAAATGAATCCATATGGTTTAAGAATTGAATTAATAATCATGAGGCACTCTACCTTCAATTGTAGACTACGGACCACACTTGCTTTATCAGACCAACCCAATATTTCCCATAACCCATAGTCCAAGCAGGGGCTCATTAGTAGGTTACCAAAGTCTGACTGAAGAGCCAAGGGGTCGCAATCTCGGTCTGTGGATTATAGGTCTTCCCCTGAGATGAATCAAGGTGACCAAGACTTTATTTTGGTCTCTCGCACATGCATACGCTTCACCCTAAAAGGTGGATTTCTGGCTTTCCCAAACGATCTATCGATATGCATGCTATATGATGATACATAGATGAGATTTTGGCCCCCGTCTCTATAGGCCACCATCACACACAAGGATTGCATAGTCCCTCGACTCACTCATCCGGGCATGTTCTCCGACCTCATCAAGAGCTAACCTATGAACCATCATCAGTTTGTTCTTCGTACCCAGGTAACATGGGTTTTTCTCAACCGATTGGCCTAGATTGTCAAGCATATATCGGTATCTACAAACACTGCTTGTATAGTATGGTCTCGAGAAACCACACTCCCACTGAGTTTATGTTCCATTATATCAAAATTTTTCGTTACAAACACTCATAAAGCCTTTAAAAGCAACATAAACCCAACACATTTGTAGTTCTACATTATAAGGTTACCTCCTTATATAAACTTTTTCCTATTTTAAATGCTGAAGGGACTAATAAAAAGAAAGATTGTGTTAGGCTACTCATACATTACTTTTGTCAAGGGGTATTTTAGATCATTAATAAGGAATAAAAGTAAAAATTATTGACCGAAAGAATAACATTTATTAAAACAAAGAGATATGGGCTCAATTTATAATTAATCTTGTATAAAATTAGAGCTGAGTGGATAAAGTGAATATGTACTTCCGAAGTCTTATGTGATCATTGCATATAGTGAAACTAAAGGGGAAGTTCTATACAACAACTCTTAGACATATCATGCTTTATGGGACATAATGTTGGATGGTCAAGAGACAATATAATCATAAAATGAGTACAACTCAAATAACGATTTGAGATGACTGAGTGACAAGAGAAACAAGGATAGAATTTAGAATGAGTGATTCAAAGGAACTTAGGGATGGCTCCAATGGGTAATAAAATGAGGGAAAATAATCTTAGGTGGTCTAGACATATGTAATGTTGACCTAAATCAACACTTGTTAAGAGAGGTGATTTCATTCGAGTGAAAGGCTCTAAAATGGCAAGTAAAATGCCAATAAAGACATGATTAGCAGTAGTGAAAAAAGATATGATGACTTATAGTCTAACTAGGGGTTTGGTCCTTGATAAAGCAGAATGACATAACAATATTCATGTATCCGACCACAAGTAGTTGGGATAAAGCCTGAATGATAGTAATGATATGTATTTATTATTATCATATTACTAAAGTTTTAATTGTGGTTATATTTTAAATTTTAAATTATATTTTTTGAATTCAAACTTGCATCGTAGATATGTCAAATTTTTCAATGGTTCTACCGATAGCATTATGGAAGATGTTTAATACGCATTATACAAAATATTGCTTTTGCAAAAAAATAAGAATATACCTTTTTAATTTTTATCTTATAAATAATATATTTAAATTTTTAACATTTATGTATTTAGGCTTTGAATTTTGAATTTTTATATTTTAGAATTATGTTATGATTCATGTGTATATTATATTTATGGGATTGTATGCTATGAGACTACTTATCTTTGTTACAAAGAAGTCACAATTGCTAATACCTGGTAGATTTCAAATTTGTTGGCTTAACGTGTGTCATAAAATTAAAGAAATTTTATTTTGAACTTTGAGTCTAGTCAATGACACACATACAACCGGTCGATTTGAAATATGAAAGACAAGAGTAATTATAACTTCCCTATATTAAATGATCCCTTCATATACTTTTCTATATTTATCTAATGCTTGTACATGCGTCTTGGTGTCATACTAAATTTTAAATCGATGCACTAAACACTTGAGTTACTAGATATATCACCCGGGTTGATTGTTCATACAACAATCATACTTTGTATCGACGTC